ATCAAACCGTTATCCACGCAGGTCTCTAAACATAATGGAAGACAAAACTCCGAGGCTGGGGAAAAGACGAAGTTCTGTGCTGGTGGTCTTTAGAGTTCAGTCCTTCTTATGCATTTGTGTAAAGAGTGTTCTCACTTTCTTTCTCTTTTCTTTTGGTTTATGAGGGCAACGAAACCCTATATAAACGCAAACTTCTGTGAAATAAACTTCAGCTGTGTTTGAGACTTTGTGTGTCGTGTCGTCCTTCGTCTTTTCCGCAGTCTCGGGGTTTCGTCTTAAATGGAGTAGAAATGTTTGTAAATCTTCATAAACTCCCGATTCAGCGAAACTTTTCTTTTTACAGAATCTGTATAGACATGGGCTGTCATAGCAAAGCTATTTTAAAAGAAGTCTACACACAAGTATAAATAATGATGTAAAAAACGATTGGATGCCTTTTCTCCTTTCCCTCCTCACCCTTTTTATGTAAGTTCAGCTGGTTTCCACAATCTAAATAAGCAGAGAAATTCTTCCTCCTACAAAATGTCAGTCTGCTAAATTTAGCTTGTCGGCTCACTTACTAACACTGTCATTATCAAACGGCCTTATTCCCTCGCATAACAGTTGTTTCTCAGAATTCCTGTCCGACTGCAAAATGCACGGAATCCCAGAACACTTAGCTAAAACGCTTAAAGTTTGTTATTTTTGCAAACATCCTTTTTCCAGTGAAAAAGGGTGGAATTAGCCTAGGAGTATCTTGTGAAATGAGTATGAGTTACTCGCACAGAGTGTTAAACGCGATAGTATCTCCAGGGCCACCAAACTGTGAGGTTGTGTGCGTCCATACGTCGCGGCTCGATAGCTAATTATAGTGGGAACAACTGGATCGGTGCATAGCTATATACAAATTCAATTTCCCCACAAAATTTAGTGGTAAGCATTTTCCAATTAGCTGTTCAACCTGATCCAATGATATATGAAATTGCTCGGAAGTTTGGTAACACCGTGCCCGAAGCCGTCTTAATAGCGTCGAGTGTTTTTAGTGTCAGTTCTCCGGCGTTTCAAGGGCAGTGGCACTTTGGCAGTGAATGGGATGAAACCACTTTGGGGCTTTTGCACTTTCGATTACCCAGTGTGAAGAAAGGTCTCGGCCGTTGTGCCTTTCATTTCTGAAGACACTTTCAATTCTTTTTTCGACGAAAGGCCCATGAAGTCATGCTCTTTAGGGGTAGAGGCTTATCACTCGCCACTTTAAGCTCCACCGCAATACATGCAACCCAAGGTTAGTTATTTCTTGTGGACATTTGCTGGTGAGAGAAAACATGCAAGTTTGTTTGAAGCAGAGGTCTGAAACCGTCTGCAGCGTCAGGCCGAGTCAGCGGCAGCAACGGACCAGACGGCAAGTTACGAAGGGTTGGGGGGGGGGGGGGGGGGTGGCGAGGGGAAGGAAAAAAGGAAGTGCAGCATTCTCTGCCTAAGTAAGGGGATGCTGGGCAGTGCCAATCGGAAGTGCTGCTTGTTCCTGTTTCACCTCTTTTGAGGTTGAAACTGCCGTGTGGTCCTTGAGTTCGTACGAGGTAGCTGCAGGGTTTGGGGGGGGTGCTTTTCTGGTGTTGTGCTGGGGGCATCGTGAAACCACCTCGCTGGCCACGGTTTGCCGACCCCTGGTGTAAAGCAAACTGTGCCCCCGGTGTCATTTTGCACCCTTGCAAAGAGCTCCGACTGGTTTAAGATTGCTTTAACCTCGGGTAAAACGCGGATGTCAGAAGTTGCACTAGTAAATGAGGATTTGTCCAACCCTGGCGAACGAATTCACATTGGCATCGATTTAGTAAAACATGGCTTTTCCGAAACTATGCTCGACAAGTTACTTCTTAGTAAATAAAAGGCAGTGATTATTTGGACCTTCACAGTCATTTTTCATCATTTTATTTTTATAATAAAAATATACTATTTTATTATTATCATAATTTGTCAAATAATTTGACTTATTATTATATAAAGACGTGAAAATATTTTTGAGAGGATTTTGATGTCCCCTGTCGCAATACCTACTGCACTATATTGACGTCTCCCATCAAGCTTCCCACCACAAATTGACCAAACTTTGGACTTGGAGCCTTCGGACCGGAAGATGATTGAAAGTGGCGATCAGAATGATTACTTTGCTTGCAATCGGCATTGGACATTTTTCTGACGACAGGCGTCAGGTTATCGACTGCAGTTTTTATAAAAGTGCTTGCTGTTGCGCTAGTTGGTGATTAACGTTTTAACCACGGTTAAAAGCACTAAAAAGACTAACACAAGAGAGAAGACAAACACGGGCGCTAGGGTTTGGCCCAGCGCCCGCGTTTGTCTTCTCTCTTGCGTTCATCTTTTTAGCACTTTTAACCGTGGTTCATAACATTTTATAACCAGATTTTTTCGAGCAATTCGCAATCCAAGAAACTTTCAAATTCAACTCGGCTAGCCGGCTGTTCTTAATCTTTGCTTGGTAGCACTGTGCTAAATGTCACCAAAGGTATGATTTCTTTTACATTATTTATAACTGACGAAAAGAATTCTGAATCTCTTCAATATTCGAGTCATAAAAATAGAAGTCGATTGCTAACACTGTGTCGAAACACCGTGACAGAGAAAACCAAGCATTGTTTGCATTCGCGGCACTTTATTAACCATTTCAATCTTTTTGTGCTGCCCAGACTCGTCAGGCACAAACAAAATGAAAGTATAAACTAAACGGCGAACCCGCAAGCATGTGGAAAGTGAGACGGGCGAGAATTTGTATCCTGTCGAAGTCGCACTTGCGCGGCAGTGGAGGAGTCATTCAAATCTCCCAGTGTTCCGTCGTGTATGCACTTAGATTTGTTACGTGCAGACAAAAAATGAAGGGATATCCAGCTCGCCCTTGTTGTGGGTTAAATGTGTTACTCAAGAGTGCCTGCTAAAAAGACTTCTGCCACACAAAGCGACCACACGGCACTTGGTGCGAGTGCAGCTTCGCCACCGAGCGATGTCACTGTCACGTCCAAAGGAGTCGTTCAACTGTCAAGCACACACACACACACTGAATACAACATTTCCAGAGCCATGTATGGCTAAAGCCTCTTAGGCATGCAATACAATGACACACATGACTCCGTTAACACCAACAACACCGTCCACAAGGAAATAAATTGAAGCAACTATCACCACTACCCCTGTGATCCCCTACATTGATGGGAGACATCAGAATAGTAAAGCTATAATATTTTGACTAAAAATGTTGTGATAAAACCGTTGTTATTTTGACGGGGGACGTCAAATCATTTTAGAAAACTATGCTCACGTTTCACGGAAGTGACGTCAGAGACGGCCAAATAATATTGAAGTTATTTTTACACTGGGCATCAAAATAGTCGCTGCCTAAACAAAATTTCGATCCCGGCTACTGAAAAAGAAAGTGGTTCAGCTGCTGCAATTAACCTAAGCGAAGCAGTGTAATCGATTGAATGCGGCGTTCAACAAAACCGACAGCAAAATTACATCTCTGGAGTGAGAAAGTGCAACGCAAGCGAACATGCTGTTTCTGTCCGTTGTGTTTTCCGTTCTGCAAATTTGTGCTCTAAACCTTCGAAAATATTTTACGAACGCATTCTCCAGCTTAGTTTTAACCGGTTTGTTGTCTACAAACTCAGCCTACCGACACCAGATCGAGAGTATAGGAATGGCTGCTACACAACGGGAGTGTTTTCCGGCTGTTCTAAGTAATTCTTTCTTTTACAGCGGAGCTGTTAAGGGCTAGGTTCCCCAGGATCGTGTCCATCCACAGAGAAATGTCGGCACAACACCTTGGTTGCTGCCGTCGCCCATAGATGGCGGTAGCTGTCCAGAGTGTTGTGTTTGCCGGTTGTCTGCTTGCCGCCGTCACTCATAGATCCCGACAACCTTTCCAGCCTTTCCACTCTGGCTTGCCAACTTGCCAACTGCCATTACCTCATTGCCACCATAGTATAGCTTTGCTGGTTTTCCTACTTCACCAAAGTGGAAAGGCTGAAAGTTTTTTTTTTTATATATGACATTGAGATGAAGGATTCTAATGTTTTTCACTCGTGTTGTTTGTGTCTTGTGACGTAAATATTGCCTTAAAGTTTTTTTATTTTTCGGGGAAAGCTTGTTTTGTGTGATCTGTATCATATCCAAGAATTACAAGAAAGGTTTTTTGTGTGAGTTGCCTTTAGTCCTTTCACAGTTAAAGTTGAGGCTTGGACGAGTTGGTACATACTTCGGAATTAAAAAGAGTGCGGAAAGACGAGGACCAGACAAAGAAGCGACACGGACATAGACAAAGAAGTGACACGGACCAGCGCTACGTCCATGTCACTTCTTTGTCTGGTCCTCGTCTTTCCGCGCTGTTTTTAATTCCGAACTTTCACAGTTGTTTTTTTCCCCCAAAACACGTTTTTTAGTGGTTAAAATGTTTTGAAACGGATAGTAAAAAAAAAAAATAAAATGAATGTATAGGTTTTGTTTAATTATCTTGTGGGAGCATGTACGGTGCTTGCAAGCCACTTCGGTTAAGAATCATCGAGCATAAATATTGAGGGCGAGCAGTTGTCACTTTTTTAATGCAGAATGCGTCCTTCCATTTGGTTTTATTTTGGCACTTCCGCTTTTGCGGCATTCTGGTGGTGGCCTCAGATTTCCAATTGGAGGTACTTTTTGGAGCTTCTCCATCAAATGATGAGCTCTCATCTTCTAAATTCAATTCTGAGAAGCTTTAAGAGTCTCAATCAAAAGAGCCAGCACTCCGATTGCCTTTACCGCGAGGGTACATCGCACGCAAAGCGAGCATCTCTCGCATACTACGCGCACAGAGCGAAACAGGTGCGTATATAAAATTTATAGTCCGTCACAGACGGAGCGAATAGAAACACCTCCCAGGATGTGTGTGATTTCTCGTTTAGGTGAGAACTTTCTAATGTGTAACATACGTGGCGTCAACTGTGGAAGGGTCAAGGGGTCTGTCCCTCCACCTCCAGGACCTGTTGGGGGGCCTGCTGCTGGCCTGGGCGTTGATGCTGGTGCTGGTGCCCGTGGCTCTGCCTGTGGACCACCTGTTGCTGAACTCCCCCTGGGGGCCTCCCCTGGTGGTGGGGGTGGTGGCCCTGCTGTGCCTGGCCTACCCAGCCCCCCGGGAGTGGACCCCTGCCCGCGGGGACTCCTGCGTGGTGCTGGCCACCGTGGCGGGCATCCTGGCGGGGGAGGGTGCCCTCTTCCAGACCGGCTGGAGGACCCCGCTCCTGCATGCGCAGGTGGGGCACTATCCATACCTGGGCCATGGTGCCTGGAGTGTATCTCCCACCGGCGTATTTATCGCGTCCGAAGAAGTGGCCCCTCTATTTCTGCCCGACAACGTCCCAAAAGTATCGCGGCGTTGCAGCTGTGCTGGTAGATGCGCTGCACCCCTCAAGATGAAAGTTTTCTAAACGTGATGTTAATGTTGCAGGAATTATTTGGGTGCTTTCGAAGTACGCTTCTCTTTTGGAGATGGTCTTTTGAAATAGAGGCATGCTGCAGAATTTCTCCCGACTTGTATATTAAGTGTCTCCACGTAAATATTGCGCTAAAATATTTTTTTTCTGGAAATGTTTATTTTGTGAGATAAGTTCACAGTCAACTCTCGGTAGTTTTGTCGCTTTAATAAATATTTAGGTTAATTGGAAGCAGAGTTGTAGTCCTGGCAATTACACATAAAAGTCTATGGAAAAAAATGTGGGGTACTTTGAAGTTGAAGCTCTGGGACTAGGTAATTCGAAGGAACTTTTTGCATGCTCGAGAAGTCCAACAACTCTCAAAGCACGAAAATGGCTCGAGGTTATGCTGACCAAACTTAAATCACACTCGTGCACGCTTTACCACTTTCGTTAACCACGTGCGCGGTTCGGAAAAAGAGGGAATGAGCGCAGCATGTGACCCTGCTGCCTGGCACCCGGGCATATTCGTGGCTGCGGGCACACACGTCATGGCGTCGTTCCCATGGAAGTCGACGAAGTGTGGCACGTACGGTCAACGAAGCTTGGTGTGAAGCTTCATCCGGCCTTACAAGATGTTTTGTCTGTCGAGCGTATCAATGTCAACAAACGTGTCATGGTCTGGAGTCCACCTTCAGACCGGGAAATCGCCTAAGTGTTTGGGCCTACAAACGGTCACGTCGCCTTCCGTGCCTAGTAGTAGAGTGCCGCCGGTGCTGAAACTGCCGGTAGCACCACGAAGTACAATTTCGGATTTTCTTCAAAGAAACTGCCGAGGGCTTCCACACCTTCGGCAGTGTGCCATTTGCGGAGCACAGTTAATACTGGCCGTCTTCGATAGCGGAATACTGTGCACCTTCGTTGGTGAAGGCAAGCAAAAATTAACTTCTCCCTTGCGAGTACCGATTAAAAAGCAGACGGTTTGAGTGTGTTTTTCTTAATTCGAAGTACGCTTAATTTCGAGTGTTTCACTGTCTCTGTGAACTTTGAACTGTCCAGAGTCGACTGTGCTATCCTAGAGTCCAGCGTTCCTTTAAGTTTCCATGAGCTGTCAGGCTGGAAAGCGGCCCACAGCAGAGCAGGGGTCCTGCAGTATTTCACAGGCATTGCAGCAGGCAACAAGGTGGCACTAGTGAGGCGTCCTTGGATGAAAATCCAGGGACCAAAAATTAGTACTTTGCGGTAAACGCGTTAGTATGAGACGGACTCCAGGCACCATACTTCGCTGCCCGGCAGCATGCTTGACCTGTGGTGCGTACAGTTGAGCCCTCTCGTAACAGGGCTGTTTGTTATGTCACTAGTGTGTTAGATCTGGACCCACATACAGAATCACTTCATGAAAATAATGAAGCTGCTGCACATAGAAACAGTGCTGTGGAAGGATGCCTGAAAGGAAATAGGAGCTTCCACTCTGTAGCTCGAAGTACTGCCCTTTTCACATTTCTGGGCAGTTCGTGCACTCGTCGGAAAGCCCTAAAGTAAAAGCGAGCTCCTTTTAAGTGCTGCGTCACGGTTACCCGAGCACTGTGCCAGGCTGACGTCTTTTTTCTGTCTAGAGGAAGAAAGGAAACAATGCTAGTACATTTTATTTTCATTTTTTTACGGGGGAGGGAGGGATTTTTGAAGAGATGTATCGAAATATCACAACAGACGGTTATAATGTTGTGGACAGACGTAACGTCACAGACCGAGCGTACATCCTTTTTCCGCTAAATTTAGCATGTAGCTTTTACGATCAGGCCCCGTTTAATCCAAAACCTCGGCGGACACAGATTCTGCTTTTGGGGGAGTTTGGCAGTTTGGTACAAGTGATACAGAAAGGATGCTCCCCATGCTAAGCATCCTTTCGGCATTGAAAATTTCTCACCTCATACACCCATAACACAGCTGACACGCCTCGTGGCCGGCCGTATTATGGGCCGACCACGAGACGTGCCCATAACGACCGTGTTATGGCCTGTTGATTCACCTCCATGACTCCAGGCAGGTGAGGGTCTCTCGAGGTCACCGCAGTGGCCACCGCCGCTGCGGTGGCCGGCTTCTAGAAGTAGTATGGATGGATGGATGGATGGATGGTAATGGCTATACCCTTTGTAACGGGCAGTAGCTTGCTCCACCTAGCCTAACATGTCGTCATCCCTTTTTTTTAATTTGTATGAATTTTGTTTTCACAGAACCCCCGCTCTCTTTTAAAGGGCAACTCCGCTCAATTCCGCAAAATTTAGGCTTACATGTGATTCCACTTCACAAAGCACTACTAAACAGTACTACATCTTCGGATTCGCGAAATGTGGAATATTATTTGTGTAATCCTAATTTGAACATCACCTGATACCGAAACCGAAACTTTGGCTGCGTCAGGTAACATTGGTCTCGGGTCGTCAGAGTCATGGCCACGTCACGTCAAATCACGTGGTTTTGTGACGTTCGGGAGGGAGCGAGAAACAGGACACGCGACGCGGGCAGGTCGCTTCGCATGGCGTGGACGGTGATGGCGTGGGGGAAAGGGGGAAGTGGAGAAGACGAAAGAGGAGAAAGGGAGCAGAGAAACAAGACCGATAAGCGCGCAGGGCAGCGCAAACTCCCGGTCAGCCAACACCGGGAGGAGAAACTCATGACGTCATCGTTCAATTTCGCTCTGAGAAGTAAAAACAATTAAAACGTGAGAATGACATAGTCATGCCTTTGACGTAGTGGCTCAATGTCGGCTGCTTCAACTCCGTGGCATTGACTGCGCTGATGATTGCGCCTCGTGCCGCACGCTAGAGTTGGCAGATTTCGGCGACTTGGCTCGCTTGGCCAGTTTATTAAATATATAAATGGAATTAGATCGTAATATTTGACATGGGGTCTTCCTATATGATACTGAAGAGGGCTACATAATTTTCTAAATATCAAAAATGAAGTGGAGTTGCCCTTTAAATTGAGTATCCTCGGCTTCTTTCCGGGTTGCTGGCATCCTGCGTGCGTCGGTAGCATTGTGGCAAGAGTACGATGGGAATTCGTTTCTGTGGTTGGAAAATGCCCAGCAGCGGTTTGCGGTCCATTACTCCCCAGATCATCACCGAGGGTTAAAATGGAGCTCTTCGATTTAATTGAGACACTTACGGACCTCGAAGGCAATATTGCACACACTAGGGAGCGTTCTGGCACACGGTCGTGTATTGATGACGGTTCGAGCCTGCCGAGTTAACGCTCAAGCTGGAAAAATATGCGAGGGACGTCCAAAGAAATTTGGCCCTCGGAGAACTTGCGAGGGTACACTGAGGGACCTTGAAATTCCCAGGAACCCGGTTTGAGAAGCCACCCACTAATGCGTTAGCGTGCGGGCGGTTGGCGCGCAACATTTGCGCATGAGATTGATCATTGAGTGTGGAAAGGAGAGCCTGGTTGCTAAAAGAAATAAGGATGCATTGACGTCGAGTAAACTGCAAAAGTGAAAATGTAATGTTCTCCTTAGGTCCGTACGTGGAACTTGCTACCGTCCTTAGATTTGGATGTTGGAAGACCATTGGAAAAGTACCGTATTTACACGAATGTAGGTCGACCCTTTTTTCAATTTTTGACAATCTAAAGTGGGGGGGTCAACTTAGAATCGAACCAAAGCATTCCACCGTTGGCAAAGACAAAACAATCACGATATCATGAACACCTCGTCTTGTTACAAGTTCAGCCGGCTGTACCTCTAGCATTGCACTATTATTTGTGCTCATTTTACAAACTAATTATTTTTTATTTGCGCGAACCAGTGTTATTAATAGCGATTCACAAATTAACCCGAATATACCGTAATATCCCGAGTCATCGCCCGTCCCCGAGCCATCGCCCACCCCATTTTTTGGGCCAATATCGATTTCCGAAAAAACACCGAGTCATCGCCCACCCCTTCAAATACCCCAGCGCGGACTCATCCTACCCGAATGACGCGGCCGCGGACCTTACAGTTGGAGGACGTCCGTGACAAAGTAAAACGAAGGAGGGAAAGACACTTCTTTTTGTTTACGCATTTCCTCCGTGAGCGACCCCAAAGTGGTCGTGTATCCGTGCGAAAAGAAAACGATGGAGATAACAAAATAAGAGTTTGTTAACGTAACCGCAGAGTGTTAGGTCGAAGTCTGTCTCCGCCGAAGTAAGGTCACTGCGAACCCGCTCTTTCTTCCCGCCCGTCGCGACCGCGGTTGTGCAATATTTTAGGCAAAGCCAACGCGTAAATAAAGCTTTGCTGGAACGCCCTACACAGACGTTTGCAGAGCGTCCCAACCGTGCATTGATAGCCCGCCGTGCACGGACGCACGTATGTACGGACGCACGTATGTACGCACCAAACAAGAAAGTTGCGCAAGAGCTTGCAATTGACAAGGCGCCCGACTTGGCCCGACGCCAAAGTATTTGCCAACGCGACCGCCGGCTTTCCCGCTTTCCCAGCATTGCTCTTGGTCGCTTCTTTGGTCCGCTCGCTCGCTCGCTTGCTCGTTGCGCCTGGTCGGTTTTTCTATTTTCTTGTAGACTTTTCTTTCTTTTTTTTTACTAACGAGGAGAACATAGTGGTGACATTCTTTCACGGAACAAACGTTCGCGCTATATGCTGATCGGCGGTGTTTCTAGCGCGTATGCGAGCAACGGACTTTGCTATAGTAAAATATTCTTTCGTGAGCATTTTTTTTTTTATTTTATAAAACAATGAAACTAAATCGAGTTTTGAGTTTGATGTATCTCTTGTGCATCAGCGCTAGATACGCAGAGAAAAATAGGCGGTTTTTTCCGCTTTTTTCAAGTGTTTGTGCTCACCCACCGAGACATGGCCCACCCCACTTTTTTAATGAATTTCAGGCGGTAGGGGGGTGGGCGATGACTCGGGATATTACGGTACTATGGTGAATAGCGCACGGCGCGCCCGACTCCCGGGGGGTAGCGGCACTTCTTGTAAGAGCCACTCCGGAGGCCGCTGGAACAGACTTCGCAGTTTTTCGCGCGATTCACGGTAGCACATCGTTTGATCGAGTGTCGAGATCATGCTGGAGCGCTAACTACGTTTATTTTGTATTGACACGCTTGATCCGGGCAGTTTAGGTTTTCGGTGCTCGTTTATGGGCATTCTTCACTTGGAAGCAACCAACAAGTGCGCTGGTGGACGCAAGTTCGATCCGTTGGAGCGAGTGATGCTCCAGTGGAGTCTGCAATGGCACGGGATCTTAAACTGTGCCGACAAGCAGCTTTCAGGCCAAAGTCTAGATAGGTGGGGACGCCTTCCGAAGTTGGAGGTCAGGCTTGGAACGTACGGCGCAAAAGCGTGCAATCGGTCTCTACCCGTGAAGTCCAATGCGATCGCCGAGCAAGCGCGAAAGATGGCGGTTGATCCTGTCATTTGCGAAGTGCGAGATTTCGTTGGACGACTCCGACGACGTGCTTCGAGAACATGGCAGTGATTATGACCGGACTGACATCACCAGTGCGGACAAGTCGTAGTCTAGTCGCGACGGAGTGAGAATGACAATGAGCAGCTTTAGTTTTCCCACCTCCAGCGTGAACTTCCTAGTTTCGATAACGCCTGGCCATCTCATGCACCTTGCACGTGCATGCGCAGCCAAAGCACGCCAGAAGGCATCGATCGCGTGTTGGAGGCTCAGCTTTCGAAACAGATACTTTGCCGTTCTCACAAGTTCGCAGTAAAATGTGCATCTAAAGATTTTTTTCTTTGCTGATGTGCGATGTGGGGGGGGGGGGGGGGGGGGCGACTTATAATCAAGTTGACTTACAGTCGTGTAAATATGGTAATTCCTACGCACTTTTCCCTTTTCAGGAGCGCTACCGCCTGGGCTTACCTCACAGCTGGGAGCTGGCGTGCGTGCTTCTCAGGACGGCAACGGGCATTGTGGCCAGCGTGCTCACCCGAACCGCTGCCAAGGCTGTCGTGAGTGTGGCTCCAGCCCTGGACCCGTTATTCCATCCATCCATCCATATCTTATTTGACATCCGACAACGGCCAGACAAACGTTGGGTTCCTTCAAATTATCGGCACCGGCCTGTAGCAGTGCAGAAAAGTGTGGGGCAGTGTTCTTCCAATCTTAGTTTTCCATTATAAGATGCTAAATAAACATTTAATTGAATTGAATCGAAGATTGCTTGCATTCGTAAACATAATTGGACGTTACGCATCTGATGCAGCTGGTGCAGGAGGTGTAGGTGAATTGAGTGTGGAAATTGATGTAGGTTGCGGTGGCAAGAAGGTCAATGTTAACTCGACGAGGCCTCTGGAGTCTTCACGCGCTGTTGTACTCGGACGTCTCCTGCGCGCAAGCGAGGCTCGAGTCGGATGCGTCGCGCCGGTTCCTCTACGCCCGTCGGAAAACACTCCCGTCTGCAACCTGCTTCAACTTCTCCGACGGCGCTTTGCCACTGAGCTGCATGCGCAGAACACTCCTTCGAGCGCGGGCTTCTTTTTTTTCTGCAAAGCGGTGTTTTTTGGGATGTCTGTATGTCTCATGAGGGCGCGCATAACGCATGCTGGGAGAATGATGTGGCGCGAGATGGGTACGGACTCGTTTCGTGCCACGGACGCTCGTCTGCATTGAATCCCGCCAGCTGCGTTCGCTGCGTCGAGACGCCGGATTCATGAAGTGCCCGGTTTCCGCCAACGTATAGTCGCCGTGCCATGCGCGGGTGCGCACGTGCGTAACATTGCAGTATAACGGTACCTTTACAGCTAGCGGGAGGCGGTGCAGGTGAGGCTGTAGTCATCCCTCATTGGCTCCAAGTCTGATATTTTGAAAACTCGGTCAACTGGTCCATGCATTTCTTCGTCCCTTCTCTAACGATTTATGGGTCCGATTGGAATGTCTCGAAATTCATCGGTTAAGAAGACATGTTAGCTAAAAGCCACTCTTAAAAATGAAAGCCGTTTACAACTCCCTGTAACGCCAAATTAGAGCGCAGCTCTTGAGCAGGAGGGAAGGGTACTGAGAGAAGGTGGAATGTCCCCCACTACTAACATTGGTGTGGATCGACGTGTTAACGCAAGTTGCATAAAATGCACATCTTAGGTGAGAGCGGGGAAATTATTTCTGCTAAATTTAGCGAGGAAATTTTTTCCACTAGATTTAGCGGGGAAATTATTTTTACCAAATTTAGCGGGGAAACTTTTTCCGCTAAGTTTAGCGGGGAAACTTTTTCCGCTAAGTTTAGCGGGGAAACTTTTTCCGCTAAGTTTAGCGGGGAAACTTTTTCCGCTAAATTTAGCGGGGAATTTTTTCCGCTAGTGACGTCACTGATGACGTCATCAGTGACGATGACGATGCCGATGCTGTCACTGATGACATCATTAGTGATGTCACGTGTGACGTCATCAGTGACACTACACGTCCCATAATGCACCGCGCGGTTACACCGACGGCGATGCCGCTCAAGCTGGAAACGGGCGCCTAAGAGCTGCGCTCTAAAAGTTTCATAATTGAAACATTCTCGAGGAAGAAAGAGAGTGCAAAGCCGAGATAATGATGAAGTATTGTTTGCACTCTCAAACCTTATTCGGCTCAAAGCCATGTGCTTTCTGTTTCACGCTTGAAATTAAAGGACTTTGGGGCAGTAAGGAAGAATGGGGAGCCAAAAGACACGACCCTTCTTATCTATCAACTCGTATCTGAGTGAAGCAAGTTCTCCGATAGGAAACGGGAAGAGCAATCGTGAGGACGTCTCCAGGACGGGGCGTATTATCACATTCGGAAACACTGCCTTTCTCAAAACTCCATTCAGCTCGAGTTTTTGCAGTGTTTGTCTGCTGTCTGCCAGCAGGAATAAAAAAAAAAGAACTGAAACTGATACAAAATTATTTTTTTATAAGGACTTACCGTATTTACTTAATTCTAAGCACCCCCTTTTTTAACGATTGCGATGCCCAAAGTGAGGGGGGGGTGCTTAGATTAGAAAAATCTAGAATGACCCCCCCCCCCCCCTCCCTCTTTTCGCTGCGACATGACGACGAGATGGGTGCGAGAAATAACATTTTAGTTTGCAAACATTCAAAAGAAAAATCGTGGAGGCAGTGAATTCACCGCTTGTGTCAGATGCTCAGTCACTGTCACTCGAGTTCGTCACACCGCTTGAACTGCCGCTCTCTGTATCTCACAGCAAGTTGTCTTCCGCTCCGTCGAAGTGGTTTGTGATCGAGCACTTCTTCAGTGATTTGACCACAACGTCCATTTGGACCCGCTTCCACGCGTCCGAAATCCACTTTGCGAAGGTTGATGCGGACGCTTTATGCAGCTTTCCCGTCGGTGTATTCTTCCTCTCAGGGTTTCGCACCCACTCTTCGTATTCCTGTCGGAGATTGGCTTTGAAGGGCTTGTTGACTGAAACGTCGAGGGGTTGCAGCTCTGGCGTCATGCCACCCGGAATCACAACCAGGTCGCTATTGATGTTCCGAAGCTTGGTCTTTACCTCCGGGGTCAGGTGGCCGCGAAACGAGTCCAACTGAAGCATCGACCGCGTTCCTGCAGGTCCACTGAGCCGTGCTCCCGAGCGCTGCTCCCACACGACCCGAATCCAGTCTGTCATCAGATTGGTTGTCATCCACCCTTTTTCCTGCACTCTCAGAATCACATCTTTAGGAAAGGATTCCTTTCTTGGCATGCTTTTTCTTTTTAGAATGATATATGGCGGAAGCTTGCGGCTGTCAGCTATTATGCACAGCATCACTGCGACACGCTGCTTCTCGTACCCTGTCGTCCTCACTTCACTTCTCGGGCTCCTACTTCATTAAGGGAGGACATGGGTCTTTGGAGCCAAAAACTTCCTAAAACTGCATTCCTTTGAAAATGGCGATGGCTGTTGTTCTGAATCTACCAGGCTTATAATTTTGTGAATGAATATTTGAGCTATAAATCAATTTATAATATCTATGTGGGCTGTATGTACATGGAAGTTGACTCTAAAACATTGTTTTCACAGAACACAATTTTTGGACTCGTTGAAAATTTACAGGAGAGATATCTCAGCACCTAGAGCAGATAGAAATTTAAACTTTCTTGAAATGTGTTGCTAAATGTGTGAAGCATACAATGTTGAGAGCAGATTTTTTAATATAAGTCTAGAAAATTTCTATTTGATCTTTTGCTATATTACTTGTTAGACATGCATTGAGCACTGAACTTCAATGTGTGGTAAAATCACTAATAATGAGTTTATATTAAAAGTGCTTCCAACATTGTATTCTCTACACTTCGTAGTATCTAGTCATGTGTTAAAAGAAATATTCTGTAGAGCAGTTTTTTTTCTATTGTTTCTCCAAACAAAGGCAGGCAAGTTTTAATTATTTCGAGGACAATGCTACTGACCGAGAAAATTACCAGATATATGAAATCGGCACAAAAAGCTGTACAAGCTTGTGCAGTTTCATTAAGTTTGGTCATAAAATAAGAAAAAAAGCTCCAAGACCAGTGTTCCCCCTTAACTGTGCACGCCCTCGGCATGTCAAAATAGACAGGCGTCTCATCGGCGTTGCCAATCTTGCCGTGCTGGTAGGGGTGTTCTCTGCGGACCTTCATCGCATACCGCTGAAAAGCTGTGAGATTTTCTTCAAAATCGGTTAGCAGCTTCTGGCAAATTGTTGTCCGGCGTCTCAGAGAAAATCCGTTTCGTCTCATCACACGCTCCACCCAGCCCCGGCTGGCACGGAACACCGTGCGGGGAATCTGCATTCTTGTTGTGATCTCCAACGCTTTCATTTGAATTGCATCAGCGGTGACAGCGAAGCCCCTGCATCGTTCGTTGCGAACAAACTCACATACCTCTTGTCCCGTTTGCGGATGTCGGCCCTTGTGCGGTCCTGTGAACTTCTTACGTGCCGGGGCGCCTTTCATAATCTGGTCCCGCTGCTTTCTCCACCTGAGTACATGAAGTGTGCAGTACTTCAAAACATTGTATTGGTTGTCTTTGGGTGCCTGCATTTGACTCATTGGCTAGCTTTAGTTGCCATAGCACTCTGCATCGCCAGCTTGTCAGTTTTAAGTGTAAATCCGGAACGCAAGGGGGGCACAGAGTGGTCACAAAGATACCGAGAAGGGGTTTTCAAAAGTAACAACTTAAAACATGAAAGAATGGGCACGCATTAATATGGAAAACCAGAGAAACTCCCTCCTTTGCAGTCATGTAAACGAATTGGGACCTAGAGGACCATTGACATTTGAGGTTCCTTCTCATGATAATGGTTACATTAACACTGGGTAATGCCTGTGACGTCTGATACTTTACATGAGCAATTCGTGCAGAACCCCTGTCTAATTCCCTTCATGTCAACGTTCATAGCCATTGCCGCACTCTGAAAACAAGATTTTTAACGGTCATTTAACACCCATAGTCAGCCTAGCACTAAAACACCTGGGATTACAAAAAAAAAAGAAGCAAACTTTTGTTTATATATTTTTTACAGGTGTGGGACACAAAAATGAAATTGAACCAGCAACAGAAAACAGATGATAATAAACAGCATGAATAAAATCCCCAAAAACAAAAAAATGGTCAGCGCCGAAAAAACAAAATGGCCAGTAGCTTTGCCAACGCGACCTACAAGATGTAACGAACAAAAGTATGCCAAGGATGTATTAAAAAAAAAAATGCACTCCCGGGCCACCGCTTCACCCTTCCCCTCTTTCCCCAGACGGTGCGACGTTGACGCAAAGCGAACGCGTGGAGGAAAAAGCCTTTTTATTCTTCTTTTTTTGTGGTAGGAATTAGAAGCTGCCCCCCCCCCCCCCCTCGCACAGATACACGCACACTATGGCTTTTTACTCACCTCCCACTTGAAGCAGCAAAAGTTCATAACCACTGCAATGCTAACGATCTCTACAGTATAACGTTGTGGTGAAAATTGCTGTAATAAATTCTAAGGGCAAGCAAACGCAAAATCGCCAACAATGT